CTATACATATGTATACTGTACTTATATATGTATATAAACATATATATATATATATATATATATATATATATATATATATATATATATATATATATATATATATATATATATATATATATATATATATATACTATATAAAACATTCTATGCATATTTTAAATGAAAACCGTACTAGTTGGATTGCTCAACCATTAATCCCTTTCGAAAGAAACCTTCTGTCCGCCTTGACTGGTCCTCCGGCTGCTGGAAATCTTTCTCGAAAGACTCATTTGCGTTCATCATGAGTTATCTCGCCGCATTTCTCTCCATCTTAGAAAACGATCCAAAGTTAAGCTATCTAGGGGATCTTCACCTTCGGAAGGTAGTCTCGTAGAAGACAACTTATCACCTTGCCAATATCTTTTCTATAAACACGTGAAGCGTCTTTTGATCGTCTCAGGAAAGGACTTTTCCACAGGAAGGAACACGGTTAGGGTTAGTTTGTGGAGAACTTAATGGTCTACTCTGAAGTGCATAGAAGTTTCTATAATAAAAGTACGGTGTTCATTTCTAAGTCAAAGGCTCGACCATCCCTATTCTGTATAGACATGTGTATGGTATGAGGAAATAAAACAATAATAGTAATAATGGACAATACAAGCAATACCGATAAGGAATAATGATGGTTACAGTACATTTCAGAATATTCTTCTCTGTGTATGATCAGTTATCATTATTTTTACATTCCAAGGAAAAATACTGACAGTTTGGCCACTGATCTATATGAGCCACTTATTTTTTCCTTTCAGTTTAGGTTCAAGATCAAGGTCACCAGTGTGACCATAGATTCCCTTTCTCTGTCGTCCAAGCACGGCCCCACCCATATGTTGGCAACTATATAAAGCTCAGACACAGCAGCTGTATTATCACATACGTTCTGACTTCTCACAATGATCTCAAAGGTGATTTGTGACCTAGAACTACTCTGGACAAAAATATTGGTATCAAATAACGTATGATTGGATTCAGTTAGGATTTGTGTATATATATATATATATATATATATATATATATATATATATATATATATATATATATATATATATATATATATATTTCTGAATCATTGGAAATTAACACTAACTTTCTTTTCTAGACCGCCGTCGTGTTGGCCCTTGTGGCTGTCGCTGTAGCTACTCCCTCACAGCCCACGTATGGCTATACCCCGGAACCCACATATGAGGTTAGTTTCAGTTCGTAATAATAAGCAGATGTTTCAGTTTGTTTATTTGTACAGCTAAACTTGGGGAATTCGTTTATGATATGTACATCTAATTCAGAATTTTTCTTTAGGAACCTGCCAAGTACGACTTCAACTATGCTGTAAAGGACGACTACTCCGGCAACGACTTCGGCCACCAGGAAGCTCGTGATGGGTACAACACCCAAGGTTCCTACTACGTCCTCCTTCCCGACGGTCGTCTGCAGAAGGTGACCTACACTGTTAACGGCGACTCTGGCTACGTGGCTGAGGTCAGCTACGAGGGTGAGGCCCAGCACTCCGAGTACAAACCTGCTCCTACCTACAAACCTGCCCCTGCCTACAAGCCTACTCCTGCTTACGAACCTGCCCCTACCTACAAGCCTGCTCCTGCTTACAAGCCTACGAACCTGCTGGCCTACCCTGACTGCGACCCTGCTCCTGCTTACAAGCCTACCCTGACCCTGCACAAGCCTACTGCCGCCTGCTCCTGCTTACAAGCCTACGAACCTGCCCTGCCTACAAGCCTGCTACAAGCCTGCTCCCGCTTACGAACCTGCCCCTGCCTACAAGCCAACCCAGCCTACGCCTAATACATTTTGTCAGCGATTATTTATTTTCATCAATAAATGTGATACATTAATATTCCATCGCCTTCATAACCTCTCTCACAGCCTTTATATTCAGTAAAACGAAGACAGCAATGCCCCCCCCCCCACAACTCTCTCCTCAAATACACGCAACACGTAAAGGTTTCATACTGAATAAACTCAATGAAATGATAAAATGAAGAAAAAGAAAATGCACGATTATGCGGAATGTTCGGCATATTCCATTTTCATCTCCTTCGTTGTTAGATTTCCGCACACAAACAGGTGTATGAAAGTATATATATATATATATATATATATATATATATATATATATATATATATATATATATATATATATATATATGTGTGTGTGTGTGTGTGTGTGTGTGTGTGTGTGTGTGTGTGTGTGTGTGTGTGTGTGTGTGTGTGTGTGTGTGTGTGTGTGTATGTATGTATGTATGTGTATGATTATGTATATACGTATGCACATATATATGTAGATGTACATACACTTATATCTGTTTATATGTTTATATATATATGTATATACTACATACATACATACATATACATATATATATATATATATATATATATATATATATATATATATATATATATATATATATATATCAATGTATGTATGTATTTACGTGCGCATGCAATTCTCTACCGAAAACATTCATCAAGGAATGCTAGCTATAAGGGCGAAAACGCAGTGAATATGCAGTATGAACACACTTCAAGGCGTCATATTATCCCCCTTCCATCTTTTCATTCCTGTATTGTGATACGTTTACATTTCCACTTTACATTCGGTGTGATGTGAGATTTTCAACTGATTCATTGATCGATTCCGATGAACAGAAGCTCACCTTGAAAAAATAGGTATATATATATATATATATATATATATATATATATATATATATATATATATATATATATATATATATATATATAATATATATATACACACAACACACACACACACACACACACACATATATAATATATATATAATTATATATATATATATATATATATACACACACACACACACACACCACACACACACACACACACACACAACACACATATATATATATATATATATATATATATATATATATATATATATATTTATATATGTGTGTGTGTGTGTGTTGTGGTGTGTGTGTGTGTGTGTGTGTGTGTGTGTGTGTGTGTGTGTATATAGATATGCATGTATATATATGCATATACATATATACATATATATGTATATGAATATATATATATATACACTATATATAAATTTGTATGCATATATAAAGAAAACTATACTAGTTAGATTGCTCAACCATTAACCCCTTTCGAAAGAAACCCTCTGTCCGCCTTGACTGGTCCTCCGGCTGCTGGAAACCTTTCTCGAAAGACTCATTTGCGTCAGGAGTTATTTCGCCGCATTTCTCTCCATCTTAGAAAACGGTCCAAAGTTAAGCTATCTAGGGGATCTTCACCTTCGGAAGGTAGTCTCTTAGAAGACAACTTATCACCTTGCCAATATCTTTTCTATAAACACGTGAAGCGTCTTATGATCGTCTCAGGAAAGGACTTCGAAGAATGTTTCAACAGGAAGGAACACGGTTTGGGTTAGTTTGTGGAGAACTTAGTGGTCTACTTTGAAGTGCATACAAGTTTTATAAAAGTCAAAGTTCGATCATCCCTATTTTGTATATATATATATATATATATATAATATATATATATATATATATATATATATATATATATATATATGTACGAGGGAGTAAAATAATAATAGTAATAATGATGACGATGTAAGAAATGCCGATAAGGAATAATGATGGTTACAGTACATTTCAGAATATTCTTCTCTGTGTATGATCAGTTATCATTATTTTTACATTCCAAGGAAAAATACTGACAGTTTGGCCACTGATCTATATGAGCCACTTATTTTTTCCTTTCAGTTTAGGTTCACGATCAAGGTCACCAGTGTGACCATAGATTCCCTTTCTCTGTCGTCCAAGCACGGCCCCACCCATATGTGAACAACTATATAAAGCTCAGACACAGCAGCTGTATTATCATATACGTTCTGACTTCTCACAATGATCTCAAAGGTGATTTGTGTCCTAGAACTACTCTGGACAAAAATATTGGTATCAAATAACATATGATTGGATTCAGTTAGGATTTGTGTGTGTGTGTATATATAATATATATATATATATATATATATTATATATATATATATATATATATATATATATATATATATATATCTGAATCATTGGAAATTAACACGAACTTTCTTTTCTAGACCGCCGTCGTGTTGGCCCTTGTGGCTGTCGCTGTAGCTACTCCCTCACAGCCCACGTATGGCTATACCCCTGAACCCACATATGAGGTTAGTTTCAGTTCGTAATAATAAGCAAATGTTTCACAGTTTGTTTATTTGTACAGCTAAACTTGGGGGAATTCGTTTATGATATGTACATCTAATTCAGAATTTTCTTTAGGAACCTGCCAAGTACGACTTCAACTATGCTGTAAAGGACGACTACTCCGGCAACGACTTCGGCCACCAGGAAGCTCGTGATGGGTACAACACCCAAGGTTCCTACTACGTCCTCCTCCCCGACGGTCGTCTGCAGAAGGTGCCTACACTGTTAACGGCGACTCTGGCTACGTGGCTGAGGTCAGCTACGAGGGTGAGGCCCAGCACTCCGAGTACAAACCTGCTCCTACCTACAAGCCTGCTGCCTGCTACGAACCTGCCCCTGCCTACAAGCCTGCTCACGCTACGAAACCTGCCCCTACACAAGCCTGCCTCCTGCTACAAGCCTGCTCCCACTTACGAACCTGCCTGCCCTACAAGCCTGCTACGAACCTGCCCCTGCCTACAAGCCAACCCCAGCCTACGCCTAATACATCTTATGTCAGCGATTATTTATTCTCATCAATAAATGTGATACATTAATATTCCATCGTCTTCATAACCTCTCTCACAGTCTTTATATTCAGTAGCAACGAAGAGAGCAAATCCCCCCCCCCCCTTTCTGGCTCTCTAGTCCACACACACACACGTAAAAGGAGTTATACTACATGGACTTACTGAAAATAATTTAAGGAAGAACAAGAAAACACATGATTATGCG